ATGCTAAGGAAGAAAGCACGATATACAAGTTATTAAAAAAAGCAAAATCGTAGAAAAGGGGAAGGTTTTTAATACTTAAAAAAAAATGAGTTCAAAGTGCATGCCAAGCTAATAGTTTATAGGCCACTAAAATGTTTAAAAGTACATCAGACATGAGAAAAACACCTACTTGGCAAGGGCAAGGAATTATACAAGTATTAGGCCACTCTTCCTCAGGTGCCTCCTTTACAGTCAATAAAAAAGCCCAAACAAATGAAGACTAAGACTGTGAAATGTCTATAACGGCATTTCTAAACCTCCTCCTTAGAAGTTCTATAAACAATTTTTGTCTTAAAGCCACGGACAAAATTCCAAATGATGTCTTAGGAACCATGCTCATAGAATGTATTTGTTAAGAAAAGCACCAGTAAGAGGCTCGCAATAACAGCAAGTTAATTCTCTTTTACAGCACCATTTATAGTAGTGCATACAGCCCACCTAAATGTGTTGTTCACAGCTCACCTTTAGGTCCTTCAGTGGTATTTCCAGATATTTTTGTATTGCATGTGACCATATAACTTCAAGGTCTGCTAATACTGCAGTGAGGGAGCCACCAGGTCCCGGGTGGAGATTCAACTGCCCTCTTCTAATGGGCCAATGTATATTATAAGAATCCAATGGATTAACATACAGTGCCTAAAAATAAGAGATGATGTTCTGTGCATTGCTTTCCCCCCGAAATTAGCAACAAATATTAGAATGAAAAATATTTCAGAAGCAGATATAATAAGACATACAGCAGCACTCAGATCAATGTGACAGAAATACAGTGGATTTCATTGTAACAGGGCTTAACTGAAACTATTCTAAAGACAATAAATACGTTGTTTAAATTGTTTGAATGTTCTTACCCATGGACATCTACTGAACAAAACAGTATATTTTTCCACTATCTCAAATGAGGAATTAAAATAATTCTAGTTCTTTGAAGTTCATGAATACCTAGTTACTCAGCAGCGATTCCATGTACTGATATTTTTATCAGTTTCTTGCCTTTTCTCTGATTTTTGCCATATGGACAAAGTTCTCACCTAGTCCCTGCAGAAACACTGATTTCTAGCAGCAAAGAAACCAAGACACTTATTAGGCAGATGGGGGAAACCCTCAGGTCTTGCTGAATGATAACAAACATTCAATTACTTCACAGTAAAGTTTCTCATATATTGCTTGGCTAACTTCATGTGTCTTGCAGTACATACTAACTTGTATCAAATGGCTGCTGCTGACATGGTTGCATTTAAACATACAAAGCCTCATTCAGCAGGAAAAGAAATCTTACCTCTTCTCCTACCAAAAATTCAGGATGATTTGATGTGTTCGTCCACTTGGCCCCAGAGCTGTGGTCCAAAATAGCTGGTCGCATCTGTCTGTTGTATGACCTGGCCTGAAATTTAATCAAAAACAAACCCTGTCAATAAATATTTTACCAGTCACTTTTTTGCAAGGAAGAAAAAGGAAACACCCCTTTGGCCCCACCCCTCGAGGAAACGTTTTAAATCTTAATTTTCTCAGATCTTCAGAGATAGGTTGCACAATAGCATTATCCATAATTGCTGTAAAAAGGATATCTATACTTGTCCACTAAAACACAGCAACACACTAAAGGACTATATGAATGAACAATTCAATAAAATCTTAAGAATGAGTTACCTGATCAGGTGACACTGGAATACGCCTCGCTCCATTCGACATCTTTTTGGACCATATTGCTTGGTCCACCATTTTAAGGCCATTTTGTCTCTGCTCAGTACTTTCAGGTTTCTAAGGAAAACCCCAAATATACAATGTAAATACTTACTTTCTAACCACGTATGCATACTGGTAATACTGAAGCTATGGTTAAAGAATGAACTCATTACTGTGGTTGATAGACTGTAGAAAGGACAGAGATTTGTACAATGCAAAATAAATGTATGCTTATTTTTAAAGAAATTATTTTTTATATTAGAGTTCCCAACACTTATTTATCGAAATCAACTTGAATCTTTTAAGTGACTGGAGTGGCTGCTGGACTTCATCTCTGAAATGATGCAGTCAGGCCATTTTTTAACTACAGAAATATCAAGTACAAGCAAAAATGTTTAAATAGATCTCAATTATTTAAATCTGACGTTTAATATTAGAGACATAAATTTGATTAATTTTTATTTTTTTACAGATGCAGATTAAGAATAAGACCACTAGATCTATTTTTTAAGCAGGCTGGAATAAAACTACTCGCTGTGTTATCTAAATCACAAATCAACTTGCAACCAATACATTCACAAATGGAGAAGTCCAATTTTAATCCTACAGCTGGCATTCTATCAAAAGAAATACCCAGTGTGGTACCAGACCACAGCACAGGGAAATCAACATGCATAAACCCTCAATCTATCAATTTATTAGATTTAGTTCATTACAAACAAATCAAATAAAACCCAATCATAGCCTGGTGCAAACCTACTGACAGCGCATTAAAAGCATGAAAAAAAAGTGGAACTTCAGATGTATTCTCCTCCGGAAAAACACAGAGTATGAGGGGAAGATATGCACTATACAAAGATGCAACAGAGATGGGTAACAAACGCGGATTTTAGCGGTCCGGGAGGCCGCGCCGCGGTGTTTCCCGGCTTACATTGAGTCCGTCCCTGAGGAGCCAGCTGTCCCTGTAGGCCGCCTGGCCCTGCTGCTTGTGCCGCCGGGCGATGACGTGCGGGATGCCCGCGGGCAAAGTGTCCGTGGCTCTCCCGAGCCGCAGGGTGGTCGAGCCGGGGTGGATCACCACGATGAAGTTGCTCTGTATTTGCTGAAAGCAGCACAACGCGCACGGAGTGAGACAGAATTCCCGCGCCGTCCTGGAACTCTCCCTACGCCCACGTGGAGCCCACCTGCGCTTCCACACCCCCCTCCCCAGGCCTTTAAAAGGCCGAGCCCGGGCCGGGCCCGCCCCAGCGCGGGGAGGAAGCGCCGCTCTGAGCGGCCGCGGCCGGGCCTCACCTCCTGCAGGGACTCGGGCACGGCGGCGGGGACGATGGGCCGCTTAACGCCGCGCTGCTCCCGCTCCCGGTCGCGCTCCTTGTCCTTCCCGTTCTCCGCCTCGCCCTTCTCCGCCTGGGTCATGCTCCGGCCGGGCGGATCTGCCGGGGCCGAGCGGAAGCCGCGTCTGCCGGGGCCGAGCGGCGCCGGGCCCAGCGCGGGGCGGAAGCGGGCGGGACCCGCGCCCGGCACCGCCCCTGGGCAGGTACCGGGAGGGGCTCGGCTTGAGGGGGCACCGCTGCCCCTCGGGAAGTACCGGGGCCCTCGGCTCGAGGGCGGCTCGGCAGCCTCTTGGCGCTGCCCCGGGCTGGCTCGGCTGCAGCAGGTGCGGGGGACAGCGGCTGCCCCGGCCCCCGCGCTGAGGGGCCGAGCGGCGGCAACGAGGGAGCCTGGGGAGCAGCAGCCGATGCTGAGCTGGGCGGTTACTGCAGGAGGGGTGACAGAGCCCCCCAACAGCTTAAAATACGCCTCTGTGTTAAGAGCGCAGCACGGCTGATGTACGCGATGCACCTGTGAAGAGCTAACGATGGCCAGCCTACCTGTACACACCTGGTGCGTGGGCAGCAAGTTCCTCTGTGAGCTCTGCACGTGGGACGTTTGAGTGGAGCTGAGGAAGAGCTGGGTTTTAAGGCTGAAGGATGCTGTTACACAGCAAGTCGAAAGGTGGTAACTCTGTGTTGGGTACGCGTAGCAGGAGTGGGAGGCGCTGGAGGGGCCTGTTAACCGAGGGGCGCTGTCGGGTGTTTTAATTTCCTGTTCAAGAGGTGGGCAGTACTCTCAGTGCAGGTGGCTCCGGCTGCGGGCGCAGTGCGAGCTGCAGGGTGAGCTCTGGGGGACGGGAGCCCGAGGCAAGAGCCCACCAGATATTCCACTGCTTAGACTGCGAGCGCGTAAAAGCCCAGGCGTTCCTTTGTTCGGGGTTCCTCCTCGGAGGCACCAGCTCGAGATGTTGTTATTTACTTATTGCACAAACATTAAATTATTTTAAGGATCCAGACGTCCGAGACTCTCCTATGGGAAAACCTAGGGTCGAGCTGGTAAGGAGACCTGGTCTGTGTGTTGAGTGGGGTGTGGGGGGAGTCAAGTAGGGCACCCATGGGCTCACTGGAACCACCTGCTGTGAAGGGGCCTCAATCCCAGCTCAGGTGGTGTGGGTGTGACTGCCAGAGTGGCTCCTGGATGGTCAGATAGGAAAGTTTCCTTAACAAGAGCTTTATAGAGAGGCTTAAGTAAAAATTTTGCAGTGGCACCTTGTAGAAAATAATCTGGATTCTTGTCAGCTAATGTTTTCTCAAATAGATCTAGCCCTCTCTAAACAAAACAAAAAAAAACCCAAAACCAACCAAACAAAAAATCCCCCAACAAACCAAATCCAAATGAGCCCCAGGAACAGTAAGAAACTCCCATCCTGAAATGGAGTAAAGTAGATAAAAGGTAGTTACTGTCTGAAAGAAAATAACTGTGCATTAGCACACAGTATTTCAGTTCACTACCTTTTTCTTCACATACTAAACCCAAGACCTAATTTTATTGAAAAAAACCTCAAAGTTTTACCGAAATTTGTACAGTAAATAGGTTTATACATTTGAGTAAGTTTATAATGGAGAAGGAGGCTGTTTCAAGAGGTGTTTATAAAACCCATTATGGGCCTTAAGGAAGCAAATTTGTAAAAGGCAAGGACTGTAAAACAAAGTAATTTGTAAACTGCATTTTTAAAGTGCTTTTAGAGTGTCATTAACACCACGACAATACAGCAAAGTACAGAATGTTTCTCCTGACAAAGACAGAGTAAATACAAAACTTCTTAGGAAGCCCTGCTTTAAGTTTGGCTCTTGAGGGACCATCTGTATCAACTATAAATATGTATTTTTTCTCATTTGAATAGCTAAGGACTTACTGTACTTCATATTTTTTGGTTTCTAAAAATGATGAGAAAGTCAGCCTTGTGACAAGCCAAATATAATTTACTTATTACTTATTCAGAAACTATACAAAGACTTTAGACAGTAAACACGTATTTAATAAAACTGTGGTTCAGTTACACTGGATCCTTGAAGGAGTTCCCAGTACAACTTCATTAATCTGCTTATATCACAGAACAGTTTCCAGTCAGATGTACACATTCACAATATTCAAACTCATTTGGTCCACCACTAAACTCTTCTTCCTTTCATCTTGCAAATGTGTACACTTGTGCCTGCCTCTTCAGCAGGCATTTACCTAAAAGATAAAGCAATTGCAGTACATTTAAAGACAACGAGGCCTTTCTTTCTGAGATAAAATTAAGTAATAATTTTAAAATAAAATTGTTTTTAATTTAGCTAGATGACACATGCTAAAGACTTTCAAATTTTATTCCTGAGCAGGTTACACATTGCTGTGATTACCCGAAACCCAACCCCAGAGTCTTTGCTGGCCTCATGTCCAGTCAAAAAGGGAAAAATAAACCCCTAAAACATCATATTTGAAAGAAGCTTATCCTTTTTCTAGAGAACTGAAATACTGGTGTATGTGCTTTTTGGTTATGAACTAACTTTTCCCTATTAGACTTACAGGTAGTGATGGTAACACTTTTGTGATGGTAACAATAAGGAGTGATTGATGACAAGGATTGTTTACTTAGGTCTTGAAGTAAATTAAACCATACTGTATATACAAACAGTGTTAGATGTAACTCTGACTAGCCAAAATAACTAATAAAACAGAATTAAAGTTCAGGCAGCTGAAAGAAATTTAAAGACCAGGGCTCTTGCCTCCATTTTTAAGCAGTTCTGATTTTTATACTTTACTAGAATTCAAGATTTATATGGCTATATCATTGTAATAGGAAAAAAAAAAAGATTTTTACTAAGTCTTTTAACAATTTTATTATTTTCCTTCTTTTCTATTAAGTATCTATTTAAAATAAAAAAACCCCTATATGTTATACAATAACTATTAGAAATGCAAGCAAAGTTTCAATTGCTTCTGATCTGGACAGGACTTTAAATTAGCAGCCCAAAAAAATGAAAAGCTGTAAATAATTTTTTTATAAGCTGTGTTCAAAAATCTTTGCTAACACTTTGTATATCCACTTCTGTGCACTTAAAAGCCACCATTTCTGACCCAAAATCTTTTAACATCCTTTCCCCCTCCCTTTTCTCCTCCACTTTAATGGTAAGTATCTACCATTTTGATTATCTGCCTGTTCTGGTAACTTCTGCAAAAGTTATACCTTAACCTTGATTATTGTAATTATGAAACTCCCCAATATTGAAAGCAAGATAGAGCAGATTGGGAATTACCTTCCTCATCCACCCCCAGCCATTGGTGGTGGACTGGGGCCTCCACCCCAGTGATTTATTCGACCCATCCTACGGCGAGGATTTGCTGGAGGCCTGAAAAGAAAGCAATTCTATTGTCATTAAACTTTTAAACTAGAAATATAACACTAAATGACAGTACTTATATAGAACCTTGGAAAAAAAATCAGTTTCTAACCCCACTTTCAAAAACATTCTTTTATAATTCTTTAGTAGTTCCAGAGTGTGTTAGGCTATATTATTTTTCAAGCTGTCCAAAGCTGTGTATTGTTATCAACAATAATACAGATAAACATTTTAGTCTTCCTAGACAACCCAATTAATCTACTCAGATTCATGTGACTTTGCCAAGATAAGTAAAAAAAAATCAGAACTGGTGTGAATATGAAAAAAATACCCTCTTCTGTCATTGTATCCTGAATAGGAGGAAGATGTATAACCTCTTCTTCTCAAATCGGGTTGAATAATGCTCTGGAAACTGAAAAATAAAACAAGAGTTAGGTGAATTGACTGGTAGATATAGTTCATCTATTTTTGGATTGCAAGATAAGAAATGGCCTGAAAAACAGTAAGTATGTTAAGGAATGAATGGTGTATCTTGCCAAGATCACTGTTGTTTAATTCTTGGCAATTCTTCTCCTACATATCAAACTAAAATCTGAAGTAATTCCAAATTACAGCGAGGCTCAAACTATAAAATCTCATTTTGGGTAAATATGCAAGAAATGCATTAAGTATAAACTTGTAACTGAAATAATCAAGAACTGTTGAACACATCACAAGAACTTTCTGTTTCTTAACTGGCTTTCATCTGGGGCCATAAATTTGTCATTACTGTTGTGTAATTATTTTTACATAGCCAGGACCTCTTGTCACCACTAGAAATTCTCCAAGTAACTGCTTAATTATTGGATCAGCTATTAGACATCAGCTCTTTAACAAAAGTGTATGCTTTTTCTTTTTTGCAGTATCAAAATAGATGAAATGTAAGAAAACTCATTTGAACTTCCAAGAAGTTAGCATCACTTTTCATGCACTTTTTATTAATACTACTGTAGCGCTTAGTAAACAAAACTAGGTAGTCACAGTAAAATATTTATAGATAAGAATGCTAAAGAGTAAAAGCATCACTTTTATTGTTGTGTTACTGATAGTACTGAGTAGTTTGTACCTGTCAAATCTAAAATAAAGCTCACCAAAAGAATTAACTTGTACTTACAACAGAACCACAAAATCTGCTATGGACCAGAAGAAATCTGTTATAGATGACAGACTCCAAGGAGCCCGACTCCGGTTATCCAAAACTTGTCCTGTAACATATCCAGACACAAAACATCCTGTGATGTTCAGTGTGTGACACTGCACAGCACAGTACACCCAAGCATATCTGCTGAGTCCAGAATTTACAAATGGGAGGGAGAAACTTCACGTCATGGGCAACGGCGGCGAGTTTCACTGCCTAGAGATAATTTATTGACCAAGCACTCGAACTACTGGGCTCACCATCGCCAAACGGGCTCTGCGTCCAGGAAACCTATAAAAAAAGTACCGGTGCAGCGGCGGTTTCCCCGCATGTTGCTTAAGTGCTGTTCTGTTACGCTCCCGGTGTTCGCAGACCACGCTCGGCCCCTCCAAAGTCCCCAAGCGCAGTTCAGAAGCCGGCGAGCTCAGCGCAGGCCGCGGGGAGCGCGGGGGGACGCGACACCGGCAAGGGCTCCCCTGGCAGCGGGCCCGGGGCCCGCGGTCATTGCCCGGTCACTGCCCAGACATTCCCCGCCCGGCGTCCCGATCCCTGCCCCTTCCCCTCACCATTGGAGATGTAAACCATGGCGGCTCCTGCCCCGCCGGCCCCGCCCGCTGCGCATGAGCAGCAGGGGCGGCTGACGGGGCGCCCGGAGATCCTTCCGGGGCCGGAAGGCGGGGCTGTGGCGCTCTGGGGCGGCGCTTGGTGGCCGGTTCCCATCCCAGAGATAACACAGCGGTACTCAGCTCCCGTTAACGGGGAGTCACTCTCAGCACGCCGTATTAACGAGGGATACCCCTCAGCACCCTTGTTAACCGGGCGTCCCCTTCAGCACGCCCTGTTAATGAGGACTCCCCATCAGCACCCCGGTTAACGGGGACTCCCCCTCAGCACCCTCTGTCGACGAGGTCCCCCTCAGCATCTCTTAACGAGGGGTCCCCCTTTGGCAGCCCCTGTTAACGAAGAATCCCCCTCAGCCCCCCCCGTTACCGAGTGTCCCACTCAGCCCCTGTTCCGGGGGTGTCCCTCGCCCCGCGGGGCCGGCCTGAGGCGGGCGGTGCTCGGGAGCGGCGTCTCCTCCCTCAGAGCGGGCGGTTCTGCTTCACCTTAAACCGTATTTATTTCAGTAGTTCCAGCGTTGTGTTGGAGTTTCTTTGCCGTGTCCATTAAGCGTTTTAAGAACAACAACAGGAGTTGGTAGTCTGTCAGGGTTTCATAAGAACTAAACGTTCTTAGCCGCCTGCTGTAATAATGGTAGAAATACGACCAGGTCGAGAGATTATTTAACATTTTTGACTAAAGGGAACTTTTGTTCCTTGTATTTAATGACAGATATGTGGCTATGTATATTCCCATTATGTTTGTGGGAATGTTCAGGCGGAAGCTGAGCATTTGTTTTGTTTTATTTTTATAAAAGCTTTGCCCTGCAAATAGTGGCAGCATTTTTTTTCTCAGGGAGAATCCATGCATGGAAAATTGGAGGTAACTATGCAGCTATATAGGCAAATTTAATATATTACCTCCTCTTTTTTTTAAGCTAAACCTGTAGACAAGGGATGTTTAATTTGCTGGGCAATGGCAGTGAAAAATGAATGTAAAAGCACTTTAATACTTCCTTTGCAACAGCTATATTTTCCTAATAATGCAGTAAAGTCCTTTGCTAACAGGGGCACAACACAGGAGTGTTTTCTGAAGTTGAAATTGTAATATCGTGCCTCTGACAGTGTAGTTGTCCCCTCAGTAAAGAAATTGTTTGCAACTGACAAGTGTTTACAAATGTTTACAAATGTTTACAAATGTTTACAAATGTTCAATTTTCAGAAACAAACTCTTGCAAACAACTGAAAGCAATTGTGAAAGAAAAGTATCTGTAACAAGGTCTGTAAAATAAACGTTTATCATTAAAGTAAGAGCTGGGTAATCTACCACTCAGTAAATGGGACAATACGAAAGTGTTTAGAAAATAGTGCATAATGGACATAAACACAGGCAGTATGTTAAAATGATTCAGGGACAGCACCTATTTGTTTTCTTAATTAGTCCTGTTTATGGTAATTTTTTCAAATAGTAGTCAAATAATAAGAAAATAACTGTACTTAAGGAAAATATATGACAAATGTATACCTTTATTAATATGCTAACCTGGAAATTATATAGTCTTGTTTTTAAATTATTTTAATTAATATATTTTATTTTCTTTTCACTAGACATTGAGACAAAACGGCAAATTTAAAGAACTATTGCACAAGTTGTAAATACAACGTTCACCAAGACGAAAACAAAAAGAGGGAGGACAGAAATGGGAAAGTAATGGCATTAAGTAGCCTAAAGGAGGTATTGTGAATTTTGTGGTGTATTGAAAACACACACAAACTAACCCTTGCTCATATAGAACCAAACATCACAGTCCAAACTTTTCACAGGACTTTACACAGAAACATAATAGTGAACCTGAATATGAGCAGGTAATTATTCCTCCTGACCTCAAGCTCTGTATGCAGTTAATGTTGTCCTGAATGAATTAATGTAATAAGAGTTCAAACAATTCCATTTTTAAATGTATTATTTTTCAGGGGGAATATTTTAATCATGCAGAAAAGATCAGTGTATTTTTTGCTTTCCAAATGACAGAAAGAACCCAAACAACAAAGAAGATGGCTAGTGAGTTCTTCAGGTGCTTGGTTGTTTTTTGTTTTTAAATAAAATGTGAGATAGTCTCGGTTTATTTAGTAATAAAGTAATGATAAATAACATTTTAATGCCCTAAGATTACATAATTACAATGCAACATTTCTCTGAAATGTATTTTTGGTGAATGAAACAAAAAGAAATATACTTTTTAAATTGAGAGTACTGGTGTGTGTATATTCCTAGCCATTTATTTTTCCAAGAAAATATGTCCAGGTACTTAACAGTGTCAGAATAACCAACCATTGTATACAATGATACGTGAAAATGTTAGTATTTTTAACTGTTTTTAATGCACTTAGGTATACATTATTTATAACTTATTTCCATATTTAAGTTTTAGACATGTGGTTAAAAATCAATGGTAGCGTTGCATTGTCAACCTGGTTATCTGTTGGCCAGGAACTAAACCAAAAAGCGGAATGGGAATGGGAAAAGAGTTATCCACATGCAGTTGGGATATATGGTAGGGCTGGGACAGAAGGTGTGGGCATAAGCTGTGGTGGGAGCTCCTTCCTGGTGCTGCCATGGCCCTGACATCCCACCCTGAGCAGCTGCTCCTTCCCAAGGGGCAGGGCGGGTGTCTCCAGCTGGTGCTCGCTACAGTTCTTCAGTGACCCCACCCTTGCTTTCAGCCTGGTGCTGGGAAGTTGAGGACAACAGGGGCCCTCCACCTGCACCTCTGCTTAAGGAAAACCAGTAGAAGAGGCGTTTTTGGAGTCAGCAGCAGAAACACAAACCAGCTGGGCTGCCCTTCTCGAGGGTGAGTGCTCTGAGGAGTAGAGCTGGTTGAGCTTCTGAAGGTGAGTGGCATGAGCAGCAGAGCTGGGGAGAGGTGAGTAAGAGCCAAAAGTTAACTGAGATGCTGTTTGGAAACTGGAGAGATGTGATTATTTGACAACAGGCAAAGTAAATATTTGTGCGATGCCATGAAGAGTAGTGTAGGCCATACATTAAGTAACTGAAAAACACCAATATACTAAATAGGCTTTAAATTTTTTTAAATGTCGTTTGTTTTAGATGGTTTATTTTTTTTAGACTCTATTCTAAGCATAAATTTGTCTGTCTTAATTCCTTGTGAATTGTATATTTGTCTGAGTACTGCTGTCTGAGCAATATATTACTGTGCTTTATCAATGTTTTCTTTTTTTTCATGAAAACTAGCAAAACCATGGGCCAACTACTTTGATAGCATTTTCTATGCTGAGGGATGACCTTTTAGTTGTGATGCAAGAGAATTAGAAAGTTGTGTGCATAGAGAAGTGGTGATGCACCATGAACAGTGCTTGTACTTTCTAAAACTTATGTTACATTTTTAATGTGAATGCAGGCTTTTTAAGAGGAAATAATTTTGAATTGAAGACTAAACAGGAGCAACTTGACCCCGCCTCGAAGAGGATTTGCAGGATATTGACTACATTTTTTAACAGAAATAGAAAAGGCACGTTTTTTTCCTCTTGCTGGTCTATAGTTATTTCACATAGTGATTATCATGTTACACTACCCCATAATTTAAATGGAAACATTCAAAACTTAATTTGGATTTGAATTATTCATGAAAGAGCTGATTGTCACGTAGTATTTGTCTTATACACACACAATTAATACTGTATGTGTTAGAGTGAGGAGGTCTTTTAATTGTCACATTACAAATGTAGAATGCTCATTGCAACATAAGCATAAAACTCAGAGGACATTTCACAGGATTCTGTTTTTTGACAACTCCCATAAGAAAAAATAATTTGCTGTTTGTGTAAGAGCTGGAATCAATTCTTGAACTAAATTATGTTGATTTAATGTCAGAACTTTAAACAGAATTTACCTGTTCAAGTAGCTTCAGTTCTAAATAACTGATTGAAGACCTAATTTTAGTGCCCTAGACAGACATATATTCATGTACTGTGGGCTTTGAGTTAGAGATATCTTGTGCAGATTTCAACTGGAAGATATATTTGGCAAAATCAGCATCTCTGATCCTGGCATTAAATCAGGTCAAGAACATAAGCACATAATGATACAAACTTTTTTCCCCTGGCTGGGACAGAGACGAGATGTTCTAGTGACAGAATTGGTCTGCAGATTGTTTGTTTATACAATTTGTTGATCCTGAATAACAAACATTACGAGGCTTTAGTTCAAAATTATTACCGTTAAGAGTTTGAAAACAAACATATGCTTGAGGAATGCCAAAGGACTGTCTTGTGCTTTTATATTGCTTTAGATAACAGCATATCCTTATCTACAGAAACCCTTAACTGCCTGTATGTGTTACATATTCTTAACAGCAAAGACTTCATCCCTCAGGAGAATTAAATTGGTGGTCTTCAATTTAAAATCGTATCAAAGTCTAGAAAGAAACTTCCCCACTCTTCTACACGGGGTGAATGCTGTGCTTGCAGTTAATGTCCGGGCACAGAAAGAGAGGGGTCACTAATTGGTCGAAGCACTTGAGCACAGTGAAGAAATACCCGTGTTTCGGGCGCGGTTTTTGGGTGGGAATACTTTGAATGTCCAGCGGGTGGCAGCGCAAGTGTGAAATAACGCGACCCGCTTTGTTCAACCACGCTCCAGACGTCCTACCACCTCTGTCGGAGAATATTTGCATTCTCCTTTATAGAGAAATCCTTCGTCCCGTGCCACTTGACGCTTATGTAATGCTTAAATGGCAAATTCTTACCGGGTTGGGGACCAGTGTTGACTCCACAGAGGTATAGTGATTCGGGAATTTGTTAGAAGTGTCACAGTGGTAGAGTTTGGGCTAAAGTTGGTGAAATGCTTGTGTGTTAACATATGATTGAGGAGTTCGTTGGCTGGAGTTTGTTGGCTTCTTTTTTCTTTTTTTTTTTTTCCCCACCCCTGTCTTCCTCCCCCAGTTAGTGGAATAGCAGACTTCCTAGTTTGTTAGTGGAGCCTTTGGCAAATTTTTTTGGTGTAAATGAAAAAAAAAAGGTGAATATAAGTAAGTGTAATAGGAACATTTTTAATGTACAGCAGGTAGGAAAAATAATGATAATTACATGGGTCAACTGAAAATAAAAATCAGGTCCTCAAACCTATGCCCTAAGTTAATGACAAAGCCTGAAATGGAACTGACCTGCTTATTCTCATACTTGTGTAATTTCTTGAGGATATGCTTGCATCTGTGGAAGCAAAAGAAGTCTCAGGCTCTGTTAGTCTTTTGGTTTAAGGCAAATATTCCTTGCCTTGTTATACTTTTTGCTAATAAATGAGAATTAGATTTGTCATGTACCTTATGAGTCTGGACTGTGGATGTATGCACACACACAAGCCTGCTTTGGCATGTTTTCCTTTTTTCCTGAAGTCTTTTAAAAGTAATGGGCTTTCTGTTTACTGAAAAGTAAAATTTAATACAATGAAACTTTAAGAATAAATGTTCAAGTTAGGGCTTATCCTTTTTCCTTACTGTTCTTATATTTTAAAATCCTATTTGTAAAGTTGGCTTGTAGGCACACCTACAGATTTCACACAGCTATTTCCCCTTCCCAGTTTTTACTTTCATACTGATGATGATGCCACTGTTGTGGTATCTTTAGAAATTAAAAGGAATGATTAACCAGACAAATGGATTTATTAAGACAGGTGTGATGTGAATATTGGTTTTACAGTAAATGTGTTCACTGAAGTCTGTTAGGGCGTATAGTGTATTTCTGTTCTCTGTAAAAGTTCTATTAACTGTTTATTTTATATAAGCCTGCCTGTTTTAGGTGATAGCTAGGTTGTGAATACACTCAAAAGAGGAAAAAAAGGTTTTGCTCACTGATGCTGTTGAGCTGCTTGTAGACAGCTGGAACATTCTTATCAGCCACCTGGTGGGAGAGGTATGGGCTATGTGACTGAGAAAACTCATATGTGGAAAGTAGGAAAGGAAGCTGGAAAATTTGCATTCCAACAAGATGCTACTGCTTGTCATTTATCTTTATTTTTGTGTCTGAGATGACTACAACATAAAATACGTCATGGAATCCTGTGGCCTCACTGATGTTCAGGTGAGCCTTGTGTGGGCAGTGTATTTTTCAAGTTCTTTTCTTCTCTTTTGTATGGGTGTTGTTTCTGCTGGAGAGCTGGCTGCTGTTGTGCTCCTGCCCTTGCTTTAGTGTGGTTTCTGTCAGAAAGTTTCTGTCCCACAGCCTAATCCAGTTGTACTGAGCATTAGTACTACGTCCAGCTATAGCTCTTGGGAGACTTGCTGAATATTTATGGTTGAGATGTTTATACATGAATTATGTTTCTTGTTTATGTTAGTCCTTTTAATATAATCATCACTATTGTTTAAGAACAAACTCACCTAATTCTTTCTTACTTCTCATATGCTCAAGTGAAATGGCACTTGTCCCTGCTAACATATGTAGCTAGGATGTAACAGTGCTGTTTTCTGCTGGATGTGCATGGGTTGCATCTGCACAGATGATTTAGGGAGCAGAAATGTTTCTTCTTGATACACATTTGCTTTACTGGGTGTTTGGAGCTTTTTGTCTGCATTTAGAGTGTTGCAGTAGGCACTTGAACATGCTGCTGCTGTGCCAGGAACAGATTCCCTCCTGATAAACCAAGGCTGAGGCTGCACAGCAGCTGGAGCCCCCCTGCAGTGTGGGCATGGCAGGATCAGCTCTCTGTTCCCATGCTGTGCACACTGAGGACTGGCAGCTGGCAAAGATGGAGTGTGGATGTGCAGTTCTGCAATCAATAGATTTCAGCAAATGGAACCTTGGGCTTTTCCCCTCTTTGCAGCAATAACAGCCCTCGGTGTTGACTTGTCAGTGGAAACTGTATATCACAAGATCACCATAAACTATGAGAACATCCCCTAGTGCATTAGAAAGGGCAATGCAAGTAAGGTGACAAATGGAACAAGGCTCTAGTTGTTGCTAGAGGCATCTCTGATACTTGATATACCACTTTCTTTAACTGCTTCAGACTTAACAGCCAAAATAAAAACAGCAGCTAAGGTACTTGTCAGAAGCAGGTGGATGAAGCCAATTCCATAATCTATTTGGTGAATAAAACCGTGATGTGATAACTGACACATTGTTCTGAAGAGATTTTATAGTTCTCTCGGAGTGCTAACATCAGTTTTTGTCTTCTGAAAATTTATTACTTTAATGGAATATGTTAATGCAATCAAAACACTTTTAAATGGGTGCAAACAGTGTAGCTATTTAGAAAGCACATAGTTGTTGGGGGTGTTTGGGAAGATGCAGGTGCTGTGAAAGCCGGAATGGTGTTGACAGGATGACTCTGTAGAGGTTTTAAAAGCCCATTGCACTGAGGTTGTAGCATTCTGATTCCACTCTTATTGCTCCCAATTTTGATGTTTCTCTCTGTGCAATGCTGCCATTCTTGGTTTTGCTGAACTTAAAAGGGAAGCTCAGCCATGACAGAAGATGCATTACAAGACCAGACTGCCTTGTCTGAAAGATGCATTTAAAGCTGTGATTGTCTGGTAGGAAAAATCCCTACAAGCTATAGCAATAATGTGGGCCAACACCCCTCCAAAATAATCCCATATTTTACAGAAGATTGGTGTGCTGTGATGCACAATGTCTTGGGGGTTGCAAAAATGGTTTTGAGTTTACAAGATCAAATCAATAAAGGCACACGTGAGACTTTTCTTCGTGGAGTTAATTGGAGAAGTATTACTCAATATCCTCTCCAGTTTAGCTTTTATGTGAATATCACATTTGCTTCCTTCATCTTCATGTGATAGAGGACCCTAAAGATTCTGATTTTA